GTGTGTTTATGTTTGCATGTTTGTTTATGTGTATGTGTATATGTGTGAGTGCGTGTGTGTGTGTGTGTGTGTTTGTGGGGGGGGGGTGTCTATGTGTGTGTGTGTGTGTGCGTACGTGTGTGTGTTTGTGGGGGCAGTTGTCAAAGAGTGTGTTTTGTTTTTTTTCCCTGTTTTGGTGTTTTTCATTTTTTTTAACATACATATGAACTTTGAAAATAAAAATAAAAAATGGGGTTGTAGATCTCCAAAAGATCTGCAACCTTATATTTTTTTTAATTTCTTTTGTTAATTGGTTGCCTACCAAACAATCTCCGTGAAAAAAAGAAAAACCCACTCATTTCATCTTTTTTTTTTTGGTTTTTTCTTTCTTTTTACGTTTTTGATTTTTTAAAAATAAATAAAAAATTCAAAAAATAAAATAAAAAACATAGGGTTGTAGATCTCAAAGAGATTTACAACCCTATATTTTTTGTTTTGTTTTTTGAGCATTTTTTACCCCCCAAAAAAATATCCCCGCGCCCGCTCAAACCCCGCTCAAGGCGCTTTGAGCGCGGGATTGAGCAGCGCTCAACATCTTTTGCGCCGACCGCGCACTCAATCAGCGTGCGGTTTCACATATTTGGGTGATACCGAGCTCTAAGTGGCCCAGCATCACACCAAGGCAGAAGTTTCCTATCGGATAAAGATTGAACATGAATTTGCAAAGATGCGCTCCAAAACCTTCGAGTGCAGCGCACAGGGCTCCCCAACGTTGATACCTCAACAGAGACCACACACCACGGCTGCAATGATGGCATGGGTACAAAATGAGGTCGCAGAGGAACAAGCAAGGAGATGAGGGGTCGATGACGGACTGTCTTTGTCGAACTCTCAAAAGACTGATCAGGAGGTTGAGCGCTGGAATGTCTGTAGAACGCCCATAAAAGTGATCTGAGTCATAAACCACTTCAATCCCTGATCATTGCGAGTGCACAGTACGCCCCCCACACACACTGTTGCCGGCACTCCTAACTAGTACGCGCTGACTATTTGGCACACAGTAACATCCCCCTCTCCCCCCCCCCCCACCCCACCACCACAATGTTGCAGGCACTGACTATTTGGCACATGCTAGAGGTGCCACACGTAAACAGAAGAACATGGGAAATAATGGGAGGGCACACAAAGCGAGGACCACGAAAATCATATTCGGAAAGAAAGGAAGAGAGAAAAGAATGCATGATTGCGTGTGTGTGTGTGTGTGTGTGTGTGTGTGCTATGTTGCACGCTGGCCGCGGCCGAGTTCGGCCCGGGCCGCGGCCGGCGGCCTAGGCCGGGACCCCCCCGGCCGCGGCCGGCCCGGCCGAGTTTTTTCGGCCGAGGTGACGGCCGGTCTGGGGGGCGGTTTTCGTGGCGGGGTGCGGGTTTGGGGTGGGGGAGTGGGGG